GGATCCTCAATATTTTTTTTTCTCATTATTAGGATCTCCTTAGGAACACCCCAGGTATGACCTGTGGTTGGCAGGAGGAGAGAAGTTACACTTACCTCAATGTGGACCCTCTTCACAGACAATCCCCAGCCAAATTATGAACCACATTGACATCAGTTGGGTTCAGCTTTGATTACTGTGGAAGATCAACTGGGCTGTCCTGACTGGGGAACCAAACAATATTCTGTGATCTTCACTCCAGCATTTTGGTGTAGCATTTTCACAGATAACTGAAAACGTAACTATAAAGGAATGCAAGGACATTGCTTAAAAAATATATCAAAAAGTAAGGAGAACAAAGGAGTCCACTGGAGAATCCTTTGATTTTCTCACTCCCGATTCCTTATAGAAACAATGTGAAGAATGATGACATTCATCTCACTAGGTAAGCCCCATGCTGTGAAAGCATCCCTGCTTTGAGGTGTCCAGATGAAAGATGCTCTACAAATACAAAGCAATGGCTGCTGGGTCTGCATTTGTGCCGGAGCGAGTCTCCCTGTGTGGGCTCTTACTTTTTACTAATAAAAGCAGAGGGTCCCTGGCTGGTGTTTCTCAGTGGTTAGAGTGCCGGCCCTCGAACAGACGGTTTGCCGGTTCGGTTCCTGGACAAGGGCATGCAACTGGGTTTCAGGTTCAATCCCTGGCTCTGGTCGGGGTGTGACAACCAATCAATGTGTCTCTCTCGAATCGATATTTCTCTCTCTCTCTCCCCTCTGTCTCTTTCCCCCTCCCTCCCTTCTTTCAACTCTATCTGAAAAGCAGTGGGAAAAATATCCTTGGGTGAGTATTAACAAAAATTTTAAAAAATAAATAAATAATAAAAGCAGAGGGTGCACAGACACTCACTCCTTCAGGGTCCCACTGAGTCCCACTGGGGCTTGGTGAGGTCTCCGGCCGGGTCCTGGTTGCCAATGAAACCGCTTCAGGAAAGATTGGGGGGGCCCAGGTTCTTGGCTGGCCTGTGGAGCTGAGAGCAGATTTTACACGGAAGACATGTATTTTGAGTGGCCAGGGTGAAAGCAAATGATGGCCAATGAAAGGGATCCTGCCCATCTTCTCCTCCAGCAGAGCTCCTTCGTATAGAAACTTTGAACAAGGAGGGAAGTAGCCTTCTCGGGGTAACAGACAGGAAGTAGAAACCTGAAGTCTGTACTGACATGCTCTATGAGGAACCGCTGTCTTAGAGTTCCTTTTGCGGGCCAACCTGGGCATGCAGCGACAAGGACAGCCACAGGTAACACCTTTGCCTTGTCCTGGCACAAAGCTCATTCAGGGACACAGGGAAATGTGATCTTGCCATCTTCCCCTCTTGGAGAGGACACGGGATTTGAACCTGCCGTGTATTTATCTAGTTCACAGCACAACTGGGAACACCTCTTGACGGCCTCCAGATAGAACGAGCTGTTCCTTTGTGCCCGAGTACAACAGTAATGCCTTCATTATCACATGCTAACTATTTTTAGTCTGCTCCTCTGACCAGTCAAGTAATTTCTTTAAGATCAAGGATGATGTTTATTTCTCCATTCCAAGTGCCTAAGATAGCTTGTCAATAATCATTTGAATGAGTTACCCTCCCTTAGTGAAGGCTGAGGGAAGATAAAGTAGACACAGCCAAACAATGATGAGTTTTTCAGAAAACTTCAGTGTGTAACAGAGGCAACATCATCATCATCATATTGAAGACTTAGTCATCACCAGCATTTTATGTAGTTACTAGAGGCCCGGTGCACAAAATTTGTGCACAGGGAAGGGGGGGGGGGGTGTCCCTCAGCCCAGCCTGCACCCTCTCCAATCTTGGACCCCTATAGGATTGGGCCTAAACAGGCAGTTAGACATCCCTCTCACAAACCAGGACTGCTGGCTCCCAAACGCTCACCTGCCTGCCTACCTGATTGCCCTTAACTGCTTCTGCCTGCCAGCCTGATCAACGCCTAACTGTTCCCCTGCTGGCCTGATCGCCCCTAACTGCCCTCCCCTATAGGTCTGGTCGCCCACAACTGCCCTCCCCTGCTGGCCATCTTGTGGCCACATGGGGGTGGCCATCTTGTGTGTTGGAGTGATGGTCAATTTGCATACTGGTTATGACTAATTAGCATATCCAGAGTAATTAGCATATCCCTCTCTTATTATATAGGATTGCATTTAATGTCCAAGATCCCACTAAACCTAAAGGTAGTGGGGTTGCCTGCATTTACAGAAAAGAAAACTGAGCCTCAGAAAGCGTAAGTACATAACAATTGCTGAGCCAGTGTTTGTTCCCAGGTCTCTCTGATGCAATGTTCTTAGCCGTTATGCCAGACTATCCAGGGCCTTGTAATAGATCACGGAGAGCCGCTCATATGGCATTCTCCTGAGTGCAGGGCACAGACCTCTTGCGGTGGTAGGCCATCCTTGGTGAGAGGCATGAGGTAAGAGAGCAAGCTGGGTAGCATTCGCTGGGAACAAGGGGATGTGTTCTTAACAATGCCAGCACAGTTGCAGACAAGGCACAGTGGGGGTCGAATCCAAACTGCAATAGACACTAGCTTTGTAGCCTTTTGTGAGTAACTGGCGCACGCGGTGCTTCAAATCCCTCATCTCCAAATTGGGGCAAACAGCATGACTTTCCTCAAAGGGTTGCTGTGAGAATGACATTAGACATGTGCTTGGTGCAATTCCCAACATACACTGAGTGCCGGCGGATTATCATCATCTTTATTATCAATACATCATAATAATTTTTCATATTATTTTTATTATGAAAAGTGGGTTTTTAATAAAAGACTTAAGGACCTACTCAAATTTAAGCATCACTTTAGTATCATTTCAAAACCACTCTTCTATTTTAAAAGCTTTTTTTTAAAAAGCCAAAACGGTGCTCCCCAGGGGGGCGGGAAACGATTCCGTCTGGTCAGTTGGCATCCTCACCACAACCTGCCCGCAAATCACTGTGGAATCTGCAGAAGTCATTCGACACAGTCCCCACGTTGTGGAAGGATGTAGTTAACGATAAGCATGGCTTGTGGTAGTGCTTTGGAGGCTACAAAGTACCACACAGAGGCTCCTATTCCCTGTCCCTCCCCCCAAAAAATTCACAAAAACATGCTCATTTCAATTTGGAAAACCTTTGCACTTCACCTTTCCCCTGCCCCCACTAGCTTGTCAGGGGCCAAGAGAGGAGAAAAACATGTTTTCTTTCCATAAACCTCATTCAATGTCAGCTTTTTTAAAGGATATGCACTCTTTGCTTTATACTTTTGGGTGGCTTTTCTATTTCTGTAAATTCCTTGCCACATCCATACCCCACCCCTCCTTTAGGCAGAAGATTGTGTGGCCTGGAGAAGTCTTCGGCCAGTAATTTGATTACCCCACCCACATCTCCCTGGTCACTCCACAACCATCAGCTGTCAATCAGCAGTCGGTCCTTCCCACTGCCCACTTGTAGCGTTTGCTTACCCAGGCTCCGCCTCCTCTTCAGATGAGGTGTCTTGGTCCTTAGCACTTCACAAGTGTCCATGGCTGGTCCACAGTTCTCCATCACTAGTGTGGACTGTAAGATCACAGTGCCGGGGATGCCACAGGCAATGTGCATTTCAATTGGGCACATTGTAATATCCATAGAAAGGCAACTTACCTTCTCCCTCTGGGGGTGGCCTCCGGGGGTGGCCTCCTGGGAGCTCCTGGGCAGCCAGGGTTCAGAGATGCTGACTTCCACTCCATTGTGTTTATGCAATTGGGCCTGCTCAGCTCCCAAGTGTTTCTTTTTCTTTTTGTTTTTTTAACACTGCAAAAAGGTAACCTATTTACACAAGAGTGGTTTAAGGACATGTTTTTCTCCACAAACAGATGTCAGAAAAGGAATTCTCCACTTGTTAAAAAATGTGCATTTTAACCCTCCACTCATAATCCACTCAATTGCCTGTACCAAAGGCAATCCCTCCAACCCTTCATCCCCCATTTGAGCCTCCAAATAAGTTTCCATTAATTCTTCACTATTCGAGACCCAGGATCTCCTGAAAAGTCTCTGGGCAAGTCATAAAATGGCAGGTTTTGACCTGCAATTAAAAATAAAACCACCAAAACCTAGAGCTCTCCCCCGCACCCTGGTCCTGCCCAGATCCGTCCCCGGTGCCCTTCAGCCATCGCTGACAGCCAGCGTCTGGTACAGTGCTGACCAGTGGGGGTCGCTCACTCCCAGATCCTGCTCTGTTGGTGAGGAGCCCAAGGTTTACAGAAGACTGGGAGGGGTCGGGTCGGGGGCGTAGGGGGCGTGGGGGACGGACCTGCAATTGGGGTTGGTGGTTACTGCTAAGCATCCACATAGCCAGAGGGTTTTTAGGAAAGGAGTGGGCCTGTTGAAAAGAGCCTGTCTTCCCAGGCCCGCCCTGGCGTCTGCCCATGGTAATCCCCTGTGAATGTGCAGAGGAGACCGGAGAGGGCCCTCTGGTTCCAAGTAGCCCTGCCCAGGGACAGGAGATTTAGATTTCCTGCTGTTCAGTTGATAGAACTTGAAATAGAAATATTACAGCCCACATATTCATTCATTTCACTCACTCAATAACAAGTTTTGTCTTTGCAGTTTAACTTGTTGTTAAGACTGGAGCCCTGCTTGAGATTCTTGCTGATTTCCCACAGACAATTCCAGAGAGGCTGCAGTTACAGACAGTACAGTCTGAAGGTACTCAACACACCCTGGTTGTCTGGCTTTGAAGCAAACGGGCTCATCTTGGCGTAGTAAAAGGAGCCAGAAAGGGAGACAGAAATGCAGTTAAAGCATTATATATGGCATTGCATCCGCTTGGGTCCAAATCAGCCTCACAAAACAGCCAGAAATCCCACTGAACTCCCTAAATTTGATCGAGTCGTAAATTGGTGAAGCTGCCGGAACTACTCATTTTATAGAGGACGTAACTAGTGTGAACCAGTGGTTGAGCTGACCCATGAACCAAGAGGTCACAGTTCGATTCCCTGTCAGGACACAGGCTCGGGGTTGCAGGCTCAATCCCCAGTGTGGGGTGTGAGTCTCTCCTATCATTGATGTTTCTATCTCTCTCTCCCCTCTCCCTCTCCCTTCCTTTCTGAAATCAATAACAAAAAAGACTGATGTTGACACACACACACCCAGAGGAAATGTATTGCTCATGTAATGAGACTTCCCGGGGAGAGCAGGACAAGCAGCCACGCTGTTCTGGAATGAGAGAGCCAGGTGAGGAACAAGCGGTTTGAAGTTTTATTGGAGTTAGGAAGAAGGGCCTTGGGAGTTTCCTCAGCTCACAGAGCACTCCCACCCTAGGCATCACCCCAGGATAGGACATTTCCTGTGCCTGAGGCCCCCTGGCTGGCTGAGTCCTGAGGCAGCACATGAACCCAGGCAGATGTTGCTGCAGAGAGCAGTTCCTTGCAGCCCAGTTCCTTCCAGCTGAGCAGTGCAGGCCTGAACGCAGAGGCAGGCTGTGGTGTGGCACTCTTCGCAGCAATAGCTGGGAACGCTGAATGTCCATCACACATATAGCTGCTTATAATGAGTTTCTAGGAGTATTTTTTAAGTATAGTTGGTATACAACATTAGATTCATGTCAGGTATACAATATAGAGATTTGACACATTACAATGCGACCCCACACTAAGTCTAGTAACCATCTGTCACCCCCCAAAACTTAGCACAATATTATTAACTATATTCCCCTTCATCTTTTTCACCCATCCCCCACCCCCACCCCACTGCCTCTGGCAAGTAGGCAAGTATCCTTTTTTTCTGTTTCTATGAGTCAGTTTTTGTTTTGTTTGTTCATTTGTGTTCTTTTTTTTTTTTTTAGATTCCATATATAAGTGAAGCTGTATTTGTATTTCATACCAAAGGCCCAATGCACAAAATCGTGCACCAGTGAGGTCCCTCAGCCTGGCCTGCGGGATCGGGCCAAGACCAGCTCTCTGACATCCCCCGAAGGGTCCCAGATGCGAGAGGGCACAGGCCAGGCTGAGGGACCCCACTGGCGCACGATCAGGGCCAGGGAGGGACTCGGGAAGTTGGCCAGCCAGGGAGGGACTTTAGGAGGGCTCCAGGGTGTGTACTGCCCATCTCACTCAGTCCTGATTGGTCAGACACCAGCAGCAAACTAACCTACCAGTTGGAGCATCTGTCCCCCGGTGGTCAGTGCACGTCATAGTGAGCTGTTGAACGGCCTTAGCATATTACACTTTGATTGGTTGAATGGACAACTGGACAACCAGACACTTAGCATATTGATGTAAGGTCTGGGGCTGGGAAAGGGTCTTTCCTCCTGATCCCACCAGCTGAGTTGGGCCAAACAACTCAGGTGTAAGGTCTGGGGCTGGGAAAATAGGGTCTTTCCTGATCCCACCAGCCGAGTTGGACAAAACAACCCAGAACTGCCGAGCCACATCCTGCTGGACAATAGCTGCCACCCTGGGACCCACCAGAGCATCCTGTTGTGCTGATGGCCAATAAATAACCACCGGAGACTTCTCAAGATGGCCAGGGTGCAGCTGCACCAACTTCCCGCTCATCAATCACCCGCCACAAGCTACCTCAGATAAACCTGATTGGTCCAACAGCAGCATAAAAAATCTCTGCCAGGCATAGGCGGGTGTGACTCCCCAGGCCTGCACCCCCAGACCGTGGGACCTCACCCGAGAGCTTCCAAATAAACGCGATATTTCGCTCTTACCCTGCTTGTCTTGGTCAATTTATTGGCTTTGGTCAGATTAAATCTCACATCTCAGATTAAACCTTACATTAAACCTAACAATTAGTCTTTTATTATATAGGATTTTCATTATTTGTTTCTCCCTACCAATAGGTGTCAGAGTCCCTAACTGACCCCTAGGAGCAATGATTGAGCAAATCACACAGCAACTATGTTAAAGATCTACCTCTGGTTTCTACAGCTGAATAGACTCCTGTTTTTAATTCCAGAATCTTGGGATCAGCTCATCACCTGAGAAAGTACTCAAGGCCCTCTTAAGTTCTGAATAAAATACCGTAAAATCTACTGGGGAAAATTGATTCTTCTCTCTAGATTTGATCAGGAATGAGCCCAATGTACCCAAAATATCATTGACCCTAAATCTCTCAACCCTCAAAACAGTTTCCTTCTGGAATTGATCACTTCTCATCTACTACGCGCCCCTTTTGATGGGGTATCAACAATTGGAGCCAGATTACAAGAACCAATGGTGAATATCTCTTCCCAACTCAGTGTACCTTGGTAGTTTGAAATCCGCCATGTGGAAGTATTTACACCACATAAATTGGCAAATGCTATAAATCAGGGCTTTTTATATCAGAGAGCCAGCTGTTGACATGCCCTCCCATACGGCGAGTTAAGGTTAGAACTGGGAGAAGGAAGAGTAAGTAAAACTTTGAAGATTTTACCAAAATGTGGCAAAAAAAGTGAAATAACTTGATTCTCATTTCTCCTTCCTTAGTTCTCACTTGACATATCTCCTTACTTGTTCCATATATGAGAACAAAGTTATGCCTTGCGATGTAGCTTTAAAATTCCAGGTTTGATGCATTATATGTGGCAATATAGCATCTGATTTGAGCACTTTGGCTCTGACATCAGGATTCTGGCTCTGCCACTTTCCATTTATCTGACCATGGGAAATTTCATTAAGCTGGAAAATCTCAGTTTCCTCAGAGGAAAATACAGATAATAAGAGCTCTTATTTTATGAAGTTATAATGAGAAATAAATAAGATATGCCTGGTATATGGTGGGCACCCATAGATATTTGTTAATTAAATGTTGTATGAATGCTTATAAAAGCATTTTGTTAATGTATGGCATAAACCAAGTGCTTAATACATGTTAAATAATATAAAATTAATTTCCATAGCCTAGAATTACCCTCATTATTAATTCATTCATTTTTTAAATCCTTTCTATGTACTCACCAGTCTCTCAAATGTTATGAGAGGCCTCATATTTGAAAATGTGATTAGTCATCCTCAGATGAAACAATAGACATTTATTTCCCCTCAAAGCCCATTCACTGCTTCGACAAGCTGGAGGAGAAGGAGAGACTAGATTAAGGATGGCAGACAAGAGTTGGTGCACCCACACGACAGCTTGCAGATCCTGGGCATGCTATAGCATATTCTCAAATAATATTTATCAACCATCCTGTGCCAACTGTTTTAGATATTTTGACAACATGACCTTTGAACATGTTCATGATAAGATTTATTTTCATATTTAAATTTTAAAATTTATCTGAACAGGACACTAATGATGTTATCTCTTATAATGTTCAGTTATCTTAGAGATTTAAATAAAAGCTTTCACTCAAGAATAACTCATTGCATATTAAAAAAATAATCCCATATTTTTAAATAGACATATTTTTTAGCAGTTTCGGGTTTACAGGAAAATTGAGCAGAAAGTACAGAGTTCTCATATGCCGCTGCCCCTCAGTCTCATCTATTAGTAACACCTTGCCTGCTACGATTGTTACAATTGGTGAGGCAATGCCCATACATTATTTTTAAATAAAGCCCATAGTTTACATTTTGGTTCACTTTTTGTGATCTATGAGTTCAACAAATGTATAATTTTATGTCTCCACCATCACAGCTCTGTGTGGCATCTATTCATCCCTCCTGCACTTCTTCCCCATGAACCCCTGGCAATCAATGACTTTTCACTGCCTCCATAGTTTCTATTTTTCCAGAATGCCATGTAGTTGGAACCACATAGTATGTAGCCTTTTCAGATCGGCTTCTTTTACTTAGCAATATTCATTTAAGATCCCTCCATGTCTTTGTGTCTCTTCATCTCTCTCTCTCTCACTCTCTCTCTCTCTCTCATCACTGAATACTAATTCATTTACAGATGTACCAGGTTATTTATCCATTACCTATTGGAGAACATCTTGGTTCCTTTCAAATTTTGGCAGCCCTCATCTTTTGAAATCGAAATGCTAGATTAAATGGAAAGTCCTAAATCTTATTCACTTACCTTATGGAGCAAATCATTGATTATTTCTTAAATTAATGTATAAAAGTGTGTAAATGGAGTTATAGGTGGTCAAATAAATTGAGGTACAATTTTTAAAAAATCTTTATTGTTGCAAGTATTACAGATTTCCCCTTTTTCCCCCCATTGACCCTTTCTAGCCCACACCCACCCCCCAGCCCCAGGCCTTCACCACACTGTTGTCTATGTCCATGGGTTATGCATATATGCATACATGTTCTTTATTAATCTCTTCCTACCCACCCAGTTTTTAAAAAGACCACCAACCCAGCTTAAAATGGTATCCTTTTTAATTTAAATATCTCTATATTTCTTTGAGTATTTGCCTTATCTGGTATTGGGGGTAGATTTATGCCTCTGGAAATTTTATTGGAGCAATTAATTGTAGTAATAGCTGTTACAGGAAATGGAGACAGTAACAACTATTTGCTTTGGCTAAAAAAAAAAAAAGGAAAAATGGAGATAAACTGCAACTGTAATGGACTGGTAGTCAGCTGTCAGCAGAAACTGTGCTTTCTTATAGCAGTGAGTATGTAGCAGCGTATTTATGACAGAGACAACTTTCATAAGGAAAAGTAACCAGAATTAATGGAGTCTATACAGATCTATTTCCTGTTGATACCCCAACCACCACCACCACCACCACCACTTCCACTTTGTTTCTTCTGCATTCCCTAAGAATTACTACAAACTAAAGTGTCAGTGGATGGATGAACTGCACGAGTAGTTAAGAGCCCATTGTGCAGGGACATTTCCTTTAGTTAATCCAGGTTATCTCCTTATCATGTTCCTCCCTTCTCTTTAGTAGGCCTGTGGGAAACCGTGGCTCAAGTAATAAGGATGTGCTGGACATATGCTCAGGGTTGTCTCACAGTGGACACTGCCAAAGTATGAAACCTGGTGCTTTCCCCTGAACGTTTACAGTCTACATAAGGAATAAAGATGTGGATACATGCCGCAATGCTGAGCAATATGGCACTGTGTGTACTTAAACGATAGTTACGATAGTTACACACAATTCTCCCTTTAGTGAACTAATTCAGATGGGAGAGAAATCATTGCGACTCGAGGCCATCACATTGGGATAGACTTGAATTGGACCCTCAGGAGCAGGTCGTGTTTGGATTTTCAGGACACATGGAGGATTGGAGTTGGGGCAGAAACAGAGTGCCCCAGGGCGAGTGAAGCCAGCGGGATTGGTGGAAGGCACTAAGAACAAGCTAATTGATCTAAATCTAGTCCTTAGGACAGACAATATTCTAAAGAATACTTTCGTGTCTTTATAGGGTCAATATCTCATTTCCTCAGCAGTTGGCTGATCCTTTCACTTTATATTGACACCCTGAAGTGTTGCTTTTTTTTGTGACTTCTGTGTACTTAATACAATCTTATTATATCAGGTGCGAATCATTTTTACTTCTGCCAAGTGCGGGTAAAGGACAAACTGGAAGTCCACTCTGGCAAATTTCTCTTTCAAAATGAACCCATATTACTGTTTCCTACCCAGATTAAGGAAAAACAAATAATCAAAACTCTCCTTTTATCTTTTAAATATCACAGTGGTGGTAAACATTATGATTGTTTCTTTTGTTGTTGTTAATCCTCACTGGACGATATTTTTAGAAACAGTGGAAGGAAGGGGGAGAGACAGAGAGAAACATCGATGTGAGAGAGACACACCGATTGGTTGCCTCCTGCACACACCCTGACCAGGGTTTGGGATTGAGCCTGCAACCGAGGTACGTGCCTTTGACCAGAATTGAACCTGAGACCCTTCAGTCCACAGGCCAACGCTCTATCCACTGAGCCAAACCCGCTAGGGCTGATTATTTCATTTTAATGTATTTACTTTTAATAAATATAACATTAGAAAAAACAATGTCAAATCATGGAACCACCAGCCACTGCTGAATTATCCCTAAAGGTGACCCCATGTTCTGCCCAAACCAAATTCACAGTTGCCAGATATTAAAATGCTAAAATACAGGAGTGCATCCATACTGGGCTCAAAAGCACTTTTCCTTTTCATCATCAAATCTATCACACGATTTTCACAAGATAAGAGCAACTCAGGTTTTCATTTGCAACTTCACAGGGAACATTGAAACAGTGGTTGTAGTGACCATAATAAAGCCGAGAATATTGGTTTACGTCAAAACCAAAGGGTGGTTGGCCTGGACAGAACAGGCAATAATCATAAAAATAAAACAAATTTTCACAGATGATTGAGTTTTTTAAAACAAATTTAATACCAACAGCTTTGGAAAAACTTTTACTTCCTCATCACTGTTCACTTAACAGATGGTAATTAAAGAAATAAGTAAAAACCTAAGGGCATAATAAAGTGGCAGCATTTTAAAAGTTTTCAGGCTGTCCAAGATTGTAGTGCTTGCCAAATTTGTTTTTAATTAACCTCTGTTCAACATGTTTTATTCCTTGGCTGCTTAGTCACACATTCACACTCATCTGTGCTCAGAATGACTGACTCATCTCCCTGTTCAATATCCTTGAACAATCTCTCACAACTCTTAAACGACAGCAGTCCCCAGTCCAAACAGCTGTTCTTATTGTTTTTAGAAATCATTTGTGGGATATTTGGGTC